TATAAAAAAACTCTAAGAATACAATATTTGGCGATACTTATATGTTAGTTTTTGACACATCATCTCCAACCATTCACAACAAACTCAAACTTAAAATGTAGTAAATGTCAAATAACCCAATAAACCAAAATTAAAATAATATTCTCACTGTATATTCTTTTTCCTAGTAATTTTATATTTTGAAAATTAAAATATACGGAGTAATACTTATTAATCCATAATCTTCATGGCGTGGCTCTCCTTGGCTGACAGAACGGCGAGGAACGAACTCAGAGCAGGGAAGAAACAGATGAAGAAATCGACGGAAGAGAGGGAGATTGAAAGTGTCGTAACCACCCCAATATTAATTAGATTTTAGGTCCAGTTTACACTTTCTAATCAGTTAGGATAGATTTAAACCTAAATGCCTTATTCGGCAGTCGTATTTTGGGCCCAGTAAGTTCGATTCTCAATATGTTTGCTTGGTTGGGTTCAGAACAGCGAGCCCTATAACATAGGTCAACTCTCATATTAAATACTCAAATTAGAAAATAATCTATGTATTGAACAAGTCATTAATTAATTAATTATATAAATTAATTAAATATACTAAGCCGGGTTTCGAGGCGTTACATAATGAGCACAAAGTTTGAAGTATGAATTGTATGGTCATGGTAATGAGTAATTATCATCTATTGTTGTGATTGTTATGTGTTGACACTAATGTTGAACTTATATGCATGAAAGTAATAATTGTGAACTAGTGGGTTCGCTTATATGTATATTAGAATGTTAAATATTTCTCATTCAAATTTTTTGCAGAGCGTGCACTTGTTATTATTTTGACTCCTCGGAGGTAAGATTGATTATTCAAAAAGGTTCTTTCATTTAATTCACATTAGTTATTCTAATGATTTATTTCAATAAATCATTTCAAAGTTCTTATCATAAACAAATTCTTTATTTACTCCTTATTTGGGTCTGTACTGAAGTTCCCAATTAAGATCACACAATAAGTCAACATATTGGATTTATCTCTAGGAGATTTATTCAGATTGTGATATTGGATATCAAAACACATTTCATTTCAGCCCAAAGACAAACAATAATTTATTTTAATCAAAACAAATTTGATTAATTGAATAATTATTCATTAATAATTTAGGGTATGTTTTGGGGTGTTACAACTTTAGTAAGAACATGGTCCGCTAACTTATGCATTCATGTTACGCGGATTGGGGTGTTATATATATATTTAGACCTTAAGTTCAGAGATAAGTGGATAATGACAAAATAACTACAGACCTTAAGTTCGGAGATAGGCGAGTCTAGTGTATAGAATGAGTCTAGTGTTACTAAATATTCTAAGGAATCTAACGTCCACACGAGTCTGGTGTATAGACCTTAAGCTTGGATATAGGCGGATAATGATGAAAATAACTATGTTTCAAGTAACGTTCAACATATTTCTACCACTATTCACACCATGCTTCTTTGTCTTAATGTATTCTCTTCAATTCCTTACGTCACAGTTAAATTGAGTATTATATTGATAAGGACGAAATATACTCACGTACCTAGAGTTTCTCCATTTTACTCCATTAATGGAGGTTGGAAGATTAAGGAAGAAGATGAAATAAAATTGCAGAATTTCCTAAGTGTTTAGTGTTGAAGGATAAAGAGTCTTTGGAGAGAGTGAATCGAGTCACAACTACCCACCAATTACACAAGAAGGGTGACTCCCCTTGTTGGATAACCTCTCAACATTGAAGTATGGAGGGATCAAGCTAAGGACGATGTGCAGAGATTCTAAGTTGATTGAAATCGAATATCTCATTACTAGTTTATACCTCGTGCTTCGCACGGGCGCGTATACAGTTATATGAATTATATCTACAAATGTGATATTTTATGTAAAAGATAAAATTAAAAATGAATAATTATAATTCACTTTGTATTAAAGTAGTCATGTTAAATCCTCTACTCGAAAATTTATTGAACTACTCCTAAGTCATTTTCTTACAACTCTTAATTATTTAGATTTGATAATATTATTTGGATTAACATAAATGGACTTGAATTAATTATTCCAAAGGTTTTAACGGTGCAAACGTCTTAACTTATAATCTAGGGGTAATAATGTGTTGCTAGATACCGCTTATTGCTTATAGTATTGGTGCAGAGCCAATACTGTGACCAGCTTTATAAGTGCCTATACGGGTCACACACTTTTGACAATTTAAGGAGTAGGATTAAACAATGGGATAATAAGTAATTTGTATATTTGTAAAATAGTAAAATAAAATATTTTGGAATATAATATTATATATATAAATATTCGGTTATATATATATTTTATATATATGTGCCGATATATATATATATATATATATATATATATATATATATATATATATATATATATATATATATATATATATATATATATATAATGTATTGAATATTTTATTTTGGTTTGTCATTTTAATTATGAATATAACTATTTTGACATAAACTTAAACTTCATATAAAGTATGAACAAATTTTACTATAACCATAAAAATAAACTAAATTTTAATTAAAATATAATTAAAAACTACAGAAATAAAATACACTTTGAACATTTGAGTGGAAAAGAATTTCAAATATCCTTCTCATATCATCATTCGGCCATATGGATTTCAAGGTTGACAAATTGGTATTAACTTACTTGATTAATAAATTAGTGATTTGTAATTGATTTGTTAATTTGTCATTTTATGCATAATTAAAGTCCATTATTATACCCACTTGAATAAAATAGACCACATTCATCAATTTGGTCCTAGGGGAATTTTCGGCCACTTCATTTTAGTGAGAGAAAATTTATTGTGTTCCATTAATATCATTTTGTGTATAGAAAATATATATAATATTTTAAATATTATTAGAAATATTTTCTATAGAAATATACAAGATTATTATTATCCCGCTGCCTATCCTTGCATGGTTACCTTTCAGTGGTATCGGAGCCAACGCACAAAACTATAGTTTTACATTTGACTTTTAAAATTTTAAAAGTCAAAGTTTTAACTTGGTAATTATTAACATTCAAAATTGGTAAAATGATTTTATTTAGTCTTGGAATAAGTATTGGACTTAAATAAATCATTGAAAATGAATTTTATATTTATTTATTTTATTTCTACTCGTAATATATATATAAATACATATATTTTGATTTTTCGAAATATATATATTTAAATATATTGTAGAAATAGTAAATATATTTTTATTTGGACATAAAACATCATTTTATGATTGATAAAATTATATTGTAATTTTTGAATGTATTATTTCCTATTTTGAATTTATTGTATTTATTTAGGAGAAAACCAAAAATAAATATGGGAAAATTCAAAATGAACTTTATTAAACTTAGAAATATTATTTCTAAGTTGAATAAGGTTTTTGACAAATATATTGTACAAAATAATATTAGTTAGTAATTAAATAAATATATATTTATATATGTACTTGGTATTATTACCGAAATATTATATATATTTGTATTTTAATTACATAAATGACTAATATATATTTTGAAAATTTATATCTCAGTAAGAAAAAGAATGTTTTTTAAAATATTAAATTTTTATAATTTAATATTTTTGAAAATAATTTAAATGGCCTTTTATAACTTATTGAGATTTAACTAATATATTTTGGAAATAATGATTTATAAATTTTGGAAATTTTATTTCCAGGTTTATAAATGTTAAAAATAACTACTGGAAGTTGAAATTTAATTTTCATGATTTTTGCAAAATTGTTTTGAAATTTTATTGCCTTATTGAAAATAATTTTGCAAAAAGAGCATTTTGGTCAATTTGAAAATTCTGGATTTTTTTATGCTGACGAAATATCCAGAATGCATAAAATGATTATTATAAAATTTTATTAGATTTATTTGGACATCTAATTAAATTTTATGAGTTTTAGAAAATATTTACTACCGTAGTATTTCTCTAGGACTGTCTGGGGTGAGCGCGGCTCACCCGGTGTATGTATATCTCTATTGCTTGTGTGGATGTATGATATCCATAGTGGATGATTGTGGCTATAGTTTATTTGATTATAATACGGCCTGCGTGTCGTGCCTTATCTCATAAACTCTTGTTGTAAATCTATTTCTCTCTCTTACCTCAACCGAGGATTCTTTTCTCACGTGGTGGTTAGAAGACGAAAAGATTTGAAGACCATTTGAAGAAATCTAAAATAATTACACGTTTTATTTTTCTTTTAGGGGCCACAATCATTACACGTTTATTTACTACGTTTTGTGAATGCATGTTGAATGTATGTTGAACGCTAGTAATGGACATGTGCGCGGTCATGTCGATAGGTGAGATCGAAATTATAAATCCCTCACGAATATTATGTCTGTTGCCTTCCGACGCCCGGCACCTATCCAGCTAATGTGCACTGTCATGTACTCAGCCTCAGCAGAGCATAGTACGGTGTATGTTAAGCTGGTTACGGGAACCGCTATAGCGTGGTCGCTGTCGCACATTGGGTTAGACTTAACTGAGTCTCGGTCAAATGGATGGACGACTTAGAGGCAGTAAGTTGGGGTCATCAATGACAAGTCGAATGATTTTACTCACTCATCCAGCCAGGAGTTGGATCTTTATGATTTAATTGGAACTCTGTTCCTAACCAAAGTCGTCTGCTTGTAAGACGTGCCTCAGCCAATTACAAGTATGGTGAAAAGGTGTCTTGGTCCGATTGTAGCAATATTGTTCGCCCAACACCAGACCAAGAGCTGAGAGCCCGGTTCATCAGTTGGAACTATGTTCCTACCTAAATAGTTGTCTTGTGGAGTAACGCCCAAGCGGAACGCAAGATAATGAAATATTGATCTTGGCCCACTAGAGGTTTCGCCGGAAATCTCCGAATCAATATCGAGGGTTATTGATTTGTTAAAAATAGTGGGAGATAATTAACTAAAGGCCTAATTAATTATTAAACATGATAGATAACCTACTTTGCAAAATTTTCTGTAGATGGAAAACAACAACAACCCTTTCAACCTGCGTTACATTCTGGAAAACAACAAGTTATCCGGGACCAACTTTCTTGATTGGGAGATGAACCTCTGAATCGTTCTTGACTGTGAGAGGAAACTCTACATCCTCGAAATGGATCCTCCCAAGACCCCTAATGCTAATGCTCGTGCGTCCGAACTCACTTCCTACAAGAAGTATGAGGACGACGCGCAAAATGTGAAGTGTATCATTATGGCCAGTATGACCGCGGAGCTTCAAAGGCTCCACGCGGACATGGAAGTGCGTCATATGATACAACGCTTAAGAGACCTTTACGAGGGTCAGCCCCAAAACTCAGGTATTTACGTTATCGAAGTCAATATGTCTGATATCACCTCTTGGGTGATGGATAATGGATGTGGTTCTCACATCTGTACTTCTATGCAGAACTTGCATGAATGTAGACAATTGACAGAGGGAGAGATACAACTAAAAGTCGGCAATGGCGCACTCGTCTATGCATTGGCCGTCGGAACCTATAGTTTATATCTACCTAGTGGTCTTATATTGCATTTGAATAATTGTCTGTTTGTACCTAGTATGAGCAGAAACATCATTTCTGTATCATGCCTTGACAAAGCCGGATTTTCGTTCGTTGTAAAAGACAAAACTCTTTCTGTCTTTAGAAATGATATATTTTATGCAACTGCAAAAATGACCAACGGTCTCTATGTCCTCGACATGGATACCGCAATATATAACATAGATGTTAAGAGAAACAAACCTAACAGTTTGAATCTCGCGTACCTTTGGCATTGTCGTTTGGGCCACATTAACGAGAAACGCATATCTAAGTTACATCGTTCCGGTGTACTTAATTCATTTGACTTCTAGTCATATGATGTATGTAAATCTTGTTTACTTGGTAAAATGACAAAGGCTCCATTCACCGGTCACGGTGAAAGGGCGAGTGACTTATTGGGCCTCATACACTCTGATGTGTGTGGTCCAATTAACAATGTAGCCAGAGGTGGTTATTCTTACTTCGTTACATTTACTGACGACCTTAGTATATATGGATATGTGTATCTAATGAAACACAAATCGGAATGCTTTGACAAATTCAAAGAATTCAGGAACGAGGTAGAAAAACAATTAGGCAAAAGTATAAAGACCCTCCGCTCGGATCGAGGAGGTGAATACTTAAGTCTGGAGTTCGATGACTATCTGAAAAAGCATGGGATCTTATCCCAACTCACTCCTCCGGGGATACCTCAGTTAATGGAATGTCTGAGAGGAGAAAACGGACTTTGCTGGACTTGGTTCGAAGCATGATTAGTCTGACAACATTGTCGGAATCATTTTGGGGATTTGCATTGAAAATAGTAGCACACACACTCAACAGAGTTCCATCTAAAGCTGTCGAGAGCACACCATACGAACTATGGCGTGGGAGAAAACCGAGTTTCTCGTACTTTAAGATTTGGGGCTGTGAAGCTTATGTAAAACGTCTCATGACGTCTAGTAAGTTGGAGCCTAAATATGATAAAGTAATTTTTGTGGGATACCCCAAGGAAACTAGAGGGTATGAGTTCTATCATCCATCCGATAACAAAATTTTCGTTGCTCGGAACGGAACCTTCCTTGAGAAGGAGTTTCTTTCTGCTATCACTAGTGGGAGAAAGGTAGACCTCGAAGAAATTCGAGAACTACAAGAAGAAGTTCTGATAGTGTTGGAACCGGAGCAAAGAGATCAAGCAATTGAACCTCAAATTGCTCAAGATAAACCACGTAGGTCAGACCGAATACGTAATCCTCCGGTCAGATATGGATTTCTCATGTTTGATGAAGGTGACGTCTTGTTGGTAGATCAAGGCGACCCAGAGACCTATCTCGAGGCAATTACATGCCCCGAATCCGATCTATGGCTCGAAGCCATGAAATCTGAAATGGAGTCTATGTACACAAACCAAGTCTGGACCTTGGTTGATGCGCCCGAAGGGGTAAAACCTATTGGATGCAAGTGGGTCTTCAAAAAGAAGACAGCCGTAGACAGGAAGGTTCATACCTTCAAAGCTCAATTGGTAGCAAAAGGTTACAGGCAAATCCATGGAATTGATTATGATGAAACCTTTTCTCCAGTTGTTATGCTAAAATCCATTCGGATAATGCTTGCGATTGCAGCCTATTACGATTACGAAATTTGGCAGATGGACATCAAGAAGGCTTTTCTTAACGAGAACCTCAAAGAGGATGTCTTTATGACACAGCCTGACAGTTTTCAAATTGCTGGTCAATCTGCCAAAGTTTGTAATCTGCAACGTTCAATCTACGGATTGAAACAAACATCTCGAAGTTGGTACATATGTTTCGATGAAAGCATTTCTAGTTTTGGTTTCGAGAAGAACTCTGACGAATCTTGTGTATACTAGAAGGTCAGTGGGAGTGTAATAGTATTCCTAATCTTATATGTCGATGACATATTGTTAATGGGTAACGATATTCCCGCTCTCACTTCTGTAAAGACGTGGTTGAGCGAGAACTTCTCTATGAAAGACTTAGGGGATGCTAGTTATGTCCTTGGCATAAGAATCTACCGAGATAGATCAAGAAAGTTAATAGGTCTGAATCAAAGTACGTATATAGATAAAATCCTTGATCGATTTAGCATGTCTAACTCAAAGAAAGGATCTTTACCTATGACACTTGGCATGGTTCTTTACAAAGAGCCAGAGTCCTACTCCCGAGCAGAAGGAACTCATGATGAAGGTTCCATACGCTTCTACGATTGGATCCATCATGTACGCCATGATATGTACTAGACCTGATGTCTCATTCGCTTTAAGCGTGACCAGAAGATACCAGGGAAGTCCAGGAGAAGCACACTGGACAACGGTCAAGAACATCCTCAAGTATCTTCGCAATACTAAGGATGCATTCCTGGTTTACGGTGGTGAGGAAGAGCTAAAGGTGGTCGGTTACACTGATGCTAGCTTCCAAACCGATAGAGACGACTCAAAACCACAAGCAGGATATTTGTTTTGCTTGAATGGCGGAGCTTTTAGCTGGAAGAGCTTCAAGGAAGATACAACCGCCGATTCGACTATAGAGGCTGAGTACATAGCTGCCGCTGAGGCAGCTAAAGAAGCTGTTTGGATCAAGAAGTTCATTACTGAACTTGGAGTGGTTCCTAGTATTAATGACCCTATCTCGTTATTTTGCCACAACACTGGGGCCATTGCACAAGCAAAGGAACCGCGATCTCACCAGAAAACAAAACACATTGTACGACGCTATCACATCATACGAGAAATCGTAGATAGAGGAGATGTGAGGATTTGCAAAGTAGATATTGACGACAACATAGCCGATCCCTTGACCAAGCCTTTAGGAAAGCTAAAGCATGAGGGTCACATTAGGTCCATGGGCATTCGACCGATGCCAAATTGGCCATAGTGCAAGTGGGAGATTGTTGGAGTTGTGCCCTGATGGCCAACTGTTCATCGTTATCCTATCATGTATAGACAGATATAATATGTTTACACATCTCATGCTAATGTAAACAAATATTATATTCCTAGATTTATATTTAAAGATGTTTATCAGATAGTGTTTTTCTGCTGATGAGACTAACATCTTGAAATAAATATTTATCTGAATGTCCATAGTCGAGTATTAACGAGAGTGGGATATCGTTAATGCATGTGAGACTAGTGTGTGTTGGATGTTTCACTTAGTCTCATAGTCAATGACGGTGTGTTTGCATCCGCACATGGGTAGATATTATCTGGAGATAATAGGATGCCGGACTGACCCATCCTAAAGATGTTGCTTGAACTTTTAGTTCATGCTCTAAGCATCTTTAGCGCGACCACGGGTGTAACTATCCTCCGACTTGAAGTATTACGTTTTCTGCATATGTGAACCGGCATGTTTTGATGCATTGTCCTAAGCCATATGAAATAAGGATGGTATACAGGCTTTGTTTTGGGTATGCCGCAGCACGTATTCAGAAACGTAGATTACGTACATAGGATTTGTCACTACTCTTTTTAAAGAGATTAATGTCTTATGGGGGCCCACTGATAAGTTATGACTGAGGAAATTGCATGGCCATGTTGAGATGTTTTTTATGACGTCCAATCCTATCAGTCAGACTTGATAAATCAGTGAATGACTTAATGGATACAAGCTGGATTTTATTAATCCTTTGCATTAAGTTTAGACATTGAGACAAAGGGATACAGTTACACGGAGTATGAGTCGTGGAAAGGTTTTAACGGTGCAAACGTCTTAACCTATAATCTGGGGGAAATAATGTGTTGCTAGATACCGCTTATTGCTTATAGTATTGGTGCAGAACCAATACTGTGGCCAGCTTTATAAGTGCCTATATGGGTCACACACTTTGGACAATTTAAGGAGTAGGATTAAACAATGGGATAATAAGTAATTTGTATATTTGTAAAATAGTAAAATAAAATATTTTGGAATATAATATTATATATATAAATATTCGGTTATATATATATTTTATATATATGTGCCGATATATATATATATATATATATATATATATATATATATATATATATATAATGTATTGAATATTTTATTTTGGTTTGTCATTTTAATTATGAATATAACTATTTTGACATAAACTATTTGAAGTATATTTCATACTTGTTTAAAATGATATTGGTATTTTTATTTGATTTAAAATTAATTTTATATTAATTTTTGATGTCAAATAAAATACACTTTGAACATTTGAGTGGAAAAGAATTTCAAATATCCTTCTCATATCATCATTCGGCCATATGGATTTCAAGGTTGACAAATTGGTATTAACTTACTTGATTGATAAATTAGTGATTTGTAATTGATTTGTTAATTTGTCATTTTATGCATAATTAAAGTCCATTATTATACCCACTTTCTCACTTGAATAAAATAGACCACATTCATCAATTTGGTCCTAGGGGAATTTTCGGCCACTTCATTTTAGTGAGAGAAAATTTATTGTGTTCCATTAATATCATTTTGTGTATAGAAAATATATATAATATTTTAAATATTATTAGAAATATTTTCTATAGAAATATACAAGATTATTATTATCCCAATTTTAATCTTTATATTTTATACTACTATAATCTTTACTAGCATAAAGATTGTGGTAGACTCCGGCGTTGTTCGTGTGTCAAAGTTGGAGACCGGACGCTTGAACGGTTACGTTTGCACTTTCAACGCTCTTCCTACGACTTCTTCATTTTTACCGCTTACGAAGAAAGGTATAAATTTCTTACTACTATATGTTTTAGTACGTGATTCTGGGCAAGATAATCATGTTAGGATGTTAAAAATTTTATATTCCGCTGCCTATGCTTGCATGGTTACCTTTCAAGCGTAACACATGTCGTAACCACAATTAATCCGCTCAACTTTATAAATATATACTAGCATTTTAACCCGTGCAATGCACGGTGATTAATAAAATTTTAGTCTATTATGTAATTTTTTTAAGTCTTTATTCTTAATTGTTTTTAATTTTTAGAGTCTGTTTGGTTGAGAGAAAAAATATTTTTCTTAAAGATTCTAATTATAATATCTTACATTTAATTACACAAGTAGTAAGAAATTATTTTTAATAAAAAAATATATTTTTCCTTGTAAAGGATGAACCACATCCCCAAGGATCCATCAACGAAAGTTCATTTTTCTAAAATTTCTTTTATGCTCTAATTTCATGAACAAAGAAAAAAAACTTCCTCCATTCCACTCCACACACCCTCCCTCCCCGTCCCCCACCCCTCACCCAAATCTTAGACATAAGAACTCTATAACGAAAATTTGGTAGCGATCGTGTATAAAAAGTGAATTAGATGTTCTGCCTAAAATATTTTAAAATTATCTCAAAGTATCTTTATTTTTATTCAAATATCAATAATGTAGAAATAAACTAATAGTACATTGCAATATATTCAATGACACAAAGTTCAACAATGTACTCATTTAAAAAAATCTCTTCTTAACAAAAAAAATAGGAAAAAATTTTTGGGGAAAATATTTATTACTGCCAAATAGTAAAACATGTGGGGGTGAGGGTGGAGATTAATTTTTCGTGTAAGGGCATGTTTTTTAACTTGACCTGAATGATTCTGATATGATTGAAATAAGTTTTGATCAAATGTGGTCTGATCTGGTCTAGTCTAATCTCATTTGAATGTAGTTATATTTAAAATTATTTCTAATTTGATCTAATCTGATCTGATTCCAATAAGAAAAAATTATAAGTAATAATAAGTTGAAGAGAACATAGCTTTAAGAAAATCATTTCTTCTAGAAAAACATATCTCTCCCCAACCAAATGCATCCTTAATTTCCAATATTTTTTTAACCATTTCGATTTCTTTATAATTTTTTCTTTTTTTTTTCAATTCTTCAAAAATTTTCAACTCCTTCAAGTATTCTCCGATTCATTTAAGTTTCTTCAAAATCCTTTTGATTCTTTCCAACATTGATTTAAAAATTACTCATATGTATTCTTCATATTCTTCTTATTTCAAGTTGTTGTGAACTGAGTACTTTATTCATCATATGTCAGGGTATTTATACATACACAGTGAGGAGGTAAAGTCTAGGTAAACAAGGTAACTAGATATTCTAAATAATAAGAGTAATATATCTGCCATATTTAACACTCCCCCTCAGATATATCATCGTTCATTATACACTAACAACATTATGCTACGGGATAATGTTGGCTAGGTTCTTCAGGACCTATATTAACTGATACTGCAGGATCAGTTATGCTGCTTCATTAAAAACCTTACTAAGAAAACCCAGTGGGACAAAACTTAGTTAAGGGAAAAAGAGTACAGCGTGTATAATATTTTCCCTCAAAATAAAAATATACTCCCCTCAAACTAATTTATCTCTTTTAGCCTGTGAAGTCCAATCTTCTTTATGAGTTGCTCAAAACTGTGTGTCTGTGTCTAGGCAGTGATTTGGTGAATAAGTCCGTCAAATTTTGCTTGATTTAACTTGAAGAACATCAATCTCTCATTCTTTCTACAGATCAGATGTTGAGAAAAACTTTACTGAGATTTGCTTCGTTATGTCTTCCTTGATGTAGCCTTCCTTGATTTGAGCTATGCATGTTGCGTTATCTTTACATATAAACGTAACATTCTTCTTGATTTCTTTCAAACTGCATGCTCCTTGTATGAGATTAATCATCAATCTCTACCATGCTCGCTCTCGATCACTGTCGTATAATGCTATCAGTTCGGCTTGATTCCATGTTGTTGTTCGTGCTCGCGCAGTCAACTTCCAAGAAAATATCGTATCAGCATATGTGAACACATACCTGTCTAATTTCACAGATAAAATTTTGGTACTGCAGGACCAAGTACTTCTTCACCCTTTTCAATTCTGGGAGGCAATTAGAATGTTATGTATATATATGAATGAACAACCATAGGTATGTTCAAAGGATGAGCTTTATCCATATTTCAACGTGTTAACATCTTCAGGATGTAGTTTAACGTATGGACAAATGTGCCATCATATAGGTGTTTAAAATACAATCCTAAGTATAATTTATGTCATGTCAAGATCTTCCATCTCAAATTCTCTCTTCAAGAGTTCAATAGTTTTTTTTCTCTATCTCTTCAAGAGATCTAATGATATTTATACGTCGACGTAAACTGCTATCATAAAAAAAATATTGAGAGCGATCCTTGAATAACAACACATAGGTTGATTTCAAATTTGTATCTTTATTTTTCGAGATATTCATTGGGTCAATTGTACCATATGACCAGATTACTTGAGACCATTCACGATCTCTTCACACATATCTCGATGTATTAATTTTATTGCTTCTGGCATTTTGAATCCTTCAGAGATTATTATCACACAGATGTCGATTTCAAGTGTCCCTTATAATTCTGTTATAACGACATCTATATCATTTATTTGAAGTCCTTTTGAGATTGCGAGGCCAATTAAAATTCTAAAAGGATATTGCATCCACTGGTGGAGAATACGTTTCCTCATAATCAACTCCTGGGATTAGGGAAAAACGCTTGCCTTACAAGTAGTACTTCATATCGCGCAATCTCATTCATTTTATTTCTGTTTATTACAAACACCCATTTTAAACCTATTGGTTTGACGTCTATGGGTGTTCATCGAGTGACTTATATTCTACCTTCAAGGTCTTTTGCCATTTGGCAAATCATTTATGTACTATCTACATGTACTCTTCTTTGAGTTTAGGCATGTAATCTCTTTTATTGATTACATCCATTGCCATAGCATATGCAAGAATATCATTAACACGTGTTTCATTTCGGTTCCATATTGTACAGTCTCATACATAATTAATAGAGATCTCATTTTCTTTCGGTACCGATGTTTCTTTAAGAAACTTATTCTTCTGGAATCATATTAGTCTCTTCTAGGATATTTACCTCTTCTGGGGTTTCATTTTCTTCTAGAATAGTATTAGTCTCTTCTGGGACAATGTCCTCTTCGGGGGTTGCAGTTCTGATCATGTATGTGGTTTCACTAATAGCATTTTTCTGTTATTTTCATTTTCGTGGGTCCTTATCTTTGGAACCGATTATTCTCCCACTTTCATTGTACAATAGTCACTTTTGGGACTACCTTAAATCGAGCGATGCATAAGATGCTGGTATATGTAACTTTGTCACTCTGCTCGTATATGAGAATGCATCTAGTAATTTATTTGCTCTTCTTTGCAAATTAGACTTCAAAATTACATTGACCACCTCACGAGTCAAAACTTACAATGATGATGCATTTCATATAATTTCTTGTATTACCAGTCTTTCATTATTCTTGTCTCCCCCTAAGACTGGGAATACTTTGTCATAAAATTGATAATCAAGTAACTTTGTTAAAAATATATCTCCTGTCAAAAACTCTAAACATTTAACAATAGACGAGAAGTTATAGCCAATCATACACAGTCTTCTACATTATATTGAATGCATTGTGGGGGAGGGGGCATATAAGACACACAATCAAATATTGTCAAAAGGGACAAACTTGTTTCTCTTCAGGAGATATCAAGTGTAAGAAAATCAAAATTTTGAATATTTGACATTTTATTTATAGGGAAGGATTAATAAAAATGAACATGTGTATATAAAATACATGTGAAGGAGAACTTCAGGTTCTCATATGTTGGAACTGCAGGTTCCTTATAATAAGACCATTTTTTTTATAGTTGAGAAAATATCAAGAATTCACTTCTAACCAAAGTGTTTACAATTGACACATAAAATTCATAATGAGCACTTTATTTGCAATATCTTAGTACAATCTTCTTTCTTGAACTTCAGGTTCACATCTTTTTTAATTGAAGAATATATATATATAATCTAGCATATGTCATGGAATTTATTTTCCATTCAACTCCTTCAAAAACCTTCCCTCAGTATTTTCTACCATTGTGGTATCTTGATAATTTATCTTAATTTAAGCCCATTAAACATCCGCTCCAAATAATTACCACATAAATGAAGATTCAAAATCTAGTATAAAATGATTTGTTCTCATAATCAAAAGTATAGCCACTAATTCGATGCACTTTGCATATTAACTAGAGCTGCAAGCTCTTATGTGACTAATGATGTTCAACATAACCTATAAATTATGTCCATAGGACAAATATCATAAACTTCGGGTTACGAGTTAATTGTCAACAAATATGACAAATATAACGATGCATCATATAAAACATTTAAATTGCCATCACAAATAGGTGATGGACCCAATCAATTCTCCTTAAATAATTTCTAAATATGTATGAAATGAATCTCAAGTTTCATTAGTAATAATCTCATAATAATCTTCTAATGAGAAAAAGACTATAGGATCTTCTGGTCCTTATAATAACAGAAATTTGTTCTTCAAATAGTACTCACTTGAGTTCTTAATGATTTTTTTCTTCACACCACAAACTAAAAATGTAATTCTATGTGGCTATAATAGTGACTTTGATGTGTCCATATGTATAACCTCAATAGTTGTGATAGCCTATTATATTCATGCATGTCAATCAATTTTTCACTCGCTTCAAGGAATGAATATGTAACATGATTTTTTTTTCAAAAAAAATCTTTCCTAACAATTGAAAGCAATGTAACCAAATATTGAGTATATGCCTTTTTTTTACACTGCCACTTTAGAGGAAATTAGGTTCTCAAACACTATCTTATAATCTCAAACCACATATAACATGCAATTACATATATTGGTCACTCAAATTT